GATACGCCCCAAAATCGCGGACATGTCCTCGCACAAGGATATGTGTACCTGGTGTCTCTGCAACTTCGTCGCGTGGCCCCGACGACTCGAGCGCCCGTGCGGATCGCCTCTTCTGTGCTGCGACGTAAAGAAGTTTCTGCGACTTGTTCTGGACCTCCACTTCCAACATCCGTTCCGTTATACAAAGGCCTTCGTTCCTCGAATTCTTTTTGGGCCTCTTCTCGGGGGTGGCCAGCAGCTCCCTGCCATTGCATTTGCTCGCCGGCTTCCTGAAGTACACCTGGGTGTCCTTAGTGACGTCGCGGACACAACTGGTGACGGGCACCTATATGGCGAAGCTGCGCTCCGCACGAAGACAAGCATCACCGATGACGTTCTCCCCCTCCGCCTCTCCGTCCTCCCCTCCTCCCCTCCTCCCCCCCTTCCCCCTCCGCCCCTCCTCGCAAACTGCCGACACCTCCCTCCCCTCGCCCAACAGGAGGGCGGGCAGGCGCTCGCCGCCGCGGACGCGAGCGTCCGCGCCACTCCGCCGCGCGCAGCAACGATGGCCGCCATTGCGCGCGTGCGCGCGGGCAGGGGAGAAAGGGGGGGGCGGCCGCCTGAAAGCTCCGGGAGGGAGCCGAAAAGACTTTCGTGGCCGTCGTCGCCGCCGACGCGGGAGGCGCGCCGTCGTCGTCGTCGCCGCCGTCGTCAGCGGCGGCGGCGGCGTCGCCGGCGGCGGCAGCGGCGGCGGGAGGAACCCAGCCGCATGAGGCTCTCCCACAGTGCGGCGCCGATCGCACGCACGCGAGCGCGAGCCTATCCTCGCACGCTTGGCTTGGCGCTGTCCGCTTGGCTGCGGAATGGGGCAGGGCTCTCCCTCGGACCTCGACCCGACCGATCGCTGCCGACCACACGCACTGCATGGACGGCACGAGCGCGTTCCTCTCACGGAGAGACTGCGCGTGGGTCCGAGCTGTCGTGCTGTCCCTCACCTGCACCCGCGGGTGTGCCTGCTGCCCGGAGGGTAGACGGGGCCCTCGAAAGAGCCCAATACGGTCCGGTGAGAATGAAACCAGAAAGACACGTCCGAATGTTTGCCCAGGAGACTACACGTATGGCAGTGAACACTGGGGACCTGGCCCTGGGTTGCGAGAAACTCACTGGACCCTTTGCCAGAAAAAGGACTCAGCAGGACAGGGAAGGTAAGAGGGAGGGGCATAAGGGGCCGATGGGAGAGGGGTGGAGCGCAGTTCCGATAAAGGCATCGCATGATGGCTCCGATACGTTCTGAAGATGTTCTTGCAGCCTCCCGAATTCCCCAGGGTCTCCAACGTGTACCAGGATCGCACAGTAAAAGCAAGAAGGCGCCCAAGGTGGCCGTCAAGATTGCGCAAGCTTGCCTCTGGCATTGCAAGTAAAGAACACTGAAAACAGATTGAGGTTCGATACGACAGAGGCCCTGAGATATCCCAAACATCATCCATGGGTGCAAAACGACGCTCAAAATGGCCCCGAGATACCTCCGAGAGGCCCCACATTGGCCCTCAGAGGCCCTACACAGGCATGCCTATTTCAACAAAAACTCGCGATCCTGACAACGAAACTTTGATTGACAACGGCCAATATCCAGCAACAGAACACTCACATAATGACAAACTTGAAATCTAACATACAGGAAGATACGAACGACCAAACTAACGAAATTACAGAAGACGAACATGCCTGGCAACAATGCTGCAGTCAGACTGTTCGAAATCATGACACAAACCAGCCGCGACGATGTAGACACGTGTAGGTCAGCACGGACGCGGCGCGAAACGCGCGCCCAGCAGATGCGCGCAGCAACGAAAGCTCCCAGCAACTCGAGTCCAACGTGTCCGCTTAGAGTTCAAACTCTCAAGCTCAATCTACATCCCACATCGGATGTATGACTCTGTGTTGGCAACGGTAATGGGATAACCGTACTCATGCCTTGCTCGTGCTCGCACCAGAAACATAAGCATGACACTGGCGGTTTCCATTCGGGGCTGGTGCGTAGAATGAGAATCGTGCTATTGATTATGCGTATGATGGCGAAGATTCCCGGGGGCAACAGGCAACCTCCTGTCCCAACGGGCCGTTTCCCAGATCACGCATGTGAAAACTCGTCTGCGGCTCGAGTTCGGCCGCGGAATTGGAGTCATTTCCATTGCTGCGAAGGGCAGCCTGAAGAAGGCGAGGGCGGGGGGGGATGAATGATGAATGAGGATGCGACGGGGGGAGAAAGAAGGGTGACAAGGACAGGGAGAAGAAGTAGGAAGAGGAGAGAACGAGAGGCAGCGAGAGCGAGAGAGAAAGAGGAAACAAAGAGGGGGGAAAGAGAGAGAGAGAGAGCAGAGCGAGAGAGAGAGAGAACAGCCAATGGCACAAACAAAAATTGCTCGAAACGAAAAAAGTGATGAAAAGAAAAAAAATATATAGAGGTAGAGAGGGAAGAAAAACAAATAATAACAACAATGATAATCATAACAGATAAGTCACCATATATATATGATAATACTGATGATAAAAATTATAATGATACTAATAATAATAATACGAATAATAATAATGATGATACTAATAGCAAAAAAAATCAGAATCATAACAAATACAACCAACAAAAACGCGACTCCAAAGAAAAGGTCGCTCTTTCGGCGGCGCCGCCGACGCAAGGGCGCGCGCGCGCACGGGGCCGACGCCGGCGGGCGGCCCCCCCGGCGGGGGGCCCGCCGGGGGCGCACTTGCAGACGGCGGCCCCCACGAACTGCACCGCGGCGCGGACGAGAAGACAGCAAGGAGCAAACGACGAAAACACGACGGGGGAAGACATTGAAAAAGAACAACGAAAAAACGGAAAGGGAAGGAAGAGGACGAGAAAACAACGGAGGAAAACAATGGCCTTACGGAGGCGGTCGAGCAGGGGAGAAAAAAAAAAAAAAAAAAAAAAAAAAAAAAAAAAAAAAAAAAAAAAAAAAAAAAAAAAAAGGCAGCACCGCGCGCCGCTCCGAGGTGAAGTCGCTCTCCCGGCGGCGCGGCCGACGCGCGGGCGCCCGCGGGGGGCCGCGGGCGACCGCGCGCGGGCCAACGCTGGCGGGCCCCTCAGCAGAGGGGGCCGCCTCGGCAACACCTGCCGCAAGGGGGCCCCCGCCGTGCCCGGGCGCCATGCTCACGCGAAGTGTCCGGAGCGCGCCTGGGCGGCCGCGCGAGCAACGGCCCGGGCTCGGCGGCCCGCGCCCACGCGTGCGAGCGGCCGCTCGCCGGCTGCCGACGCACGGCGCGCAGCGAGAGCGCGCGAGGGGGCAGGCGGGGAGAACCGATGTCTCGATTTCTCCTCGCGAACGCCCACGGGACTCGGCGCTGGCCCTGTAGCTCGCGCGCGCGCCGATCGCACCGCGAGCCGAGCGCAGGCAGAGCGCGGAGCAGGCAGGGAGACAGAACGGTCGAGGAAGCCGCCACTTGGAGAAATCGCTCGGCGCTGAAAGCCTGCCCCCTGAGGCCCCTCCAGAAAGCGCGCGGAATGTCTGCGACAACCGCATCAAAGTCCGTCGCTCTTGAGCCCCGAATGCGAGCTGGGGGAACTTGGAACCTCCCGGGGCACGCGCGAGCGGGATGCCCAGCGCCCCCAGAACATTGTTCCACCGAGCATGGAAGCCCGATGACCCGAACGGTGATTAGTTCACGGCGACGCGCTTCAAGCAGCTTCCCGCGCAGAAGAAAAATCCTTCGGGCTCTTCTGTCTGCCAGCAACTGCAAGAGACGGAGCACAGGCAAGGATCCTGCCGTCGAAGCCGCACAGGCACAGGCACGCTCAAGTCCGAGGGGCGCTGAGGCCCTCAAACAACATTACCAATTACAAGAAATGCGGAGAAGAGGAAAAGGCGGGAGACTTGAGCGACATCATTCGGCGGCGGCCCTCAAGAGATCATCGGAAACCCGTGAAGTCACGACAATGCTATGGGCAATTTTGTCTGCCAGCAACTGCAAGAGACGGAGCACAGTCAAGGATCCCGCCGTCGAAGCCGCCACAGGCACAGGCACGCTCAAGTCCGAGGGGCGTCGAGGCCCTCATGCAAAATTACCACATCTGCCCCCACATATGCTGGGCAAGCTGGCAGCGCCGAAAGTCTAGAGAGACTCACTTCCCCAAAGTTTTCTGCGTGACCTCAGCGGAAGCGCGAACCTCGGCATTACGAAACAATCGTGCGAGGGCCATGCAAAACTTGCGCGGGCACTCGGCCCCCTGTCTTGTCTTGAAACCGCCCTTGGGGAGGAAGCCCTGGAGCTGCCGGCGGGGCCGATGGGTTCGCGGACAAACTCCTCGTCTGGAGCCTATACAACGAGAATCCCTGAAAGGGCCAGGGTCGAGGTCCCAAAACACCAGCCCCGTGCCTATTTTCCACGGCGCACCCCACTGACACATTGACGCGACATGAGAGCACACAGCGCAGCGGCGCAACAGAGTCTCAAAGCGAGGGAGCAACCACAACCTAGAAGTCTTAGGGTTGTCGATACTCCAGGGGATACGCAAACTGAGAATGACGCACGCAAGAGTGGCAACAAAACTGCTCATAGCATTGGACACATCAACGATCGCTTGCAAGTGAGGTTTAAAAGCCGGGAGGCCGAAGAGGTGGAGATCAGAGCGAACAGGAGGATCCCCGACCCCGTGGTCGCGACAACTCGCTGAAACGTTGCAAGGGACGCCAGCGCTCCAACCTCTGACACGGCCTGCGCGAGCCCAGGCCAAGATCAAGGATCGATTGCAAGGACGCGAGTGGTCATACTTCTCTCCCAGCGTGGCATCCCACATCAGAACAGGCAAGCCTAACTGGGCGACGGCTCTCGCCAAGCCTCCTGCCCCTTAAAAAATCCGAGATCACTGGCGGGCCGGGCAGACTGGCACCGCAGGCGAGGGCAGGCCGTGGCGCGACTGGCTCAGGAGGCGCGCGCAGGCCTCGGCGCGCATGCGCTGGGCGGCGGGCAGTTTGTGGAGCTGCTTGCGTCGCGCCTGCGCACGGAGCTCCACGACTTCCAGCGGCCCCGGCGGCGGATCTGCTCGAGGTCGCGCAGCCCAGCGGCGTAGTCGTGGCCGGGCCCCGAGTGGCGGAGCTGGCACGCGTGGCAAGCCCCCAGCTTCGCCAAGCCCGGCGCGCGAGCGGCCTTCCTCCAGGCGTTGGCGACCTGCGGCTGCGATACCGCAAAGAGGGGCGACCAAGGCGGGGCTCCTCCGCTGCCGCGAGCCGCCGCCATCGCCAAGAGGCCCTGGCCGAGCCCTGCCTGCCTCTCGAGGGCGAGCCTCACGGGCGCGTCGAACTCCCCCGTCTTCGAGACCTCTCCGACCTCCTGCGCCCGCAGCGTCACGGAGAGGAAGCGGTGGGCCCCTGACGCCGAGGGAGTCGGTGGCACGATGTCTTGTAGTCGCAGACCGTGGATTTCTCCAGGGCGGCCGTTGATCTCGAAGAGAAGCCAGATCGCGCACGCCTCCAGCGCGCAGCGCTGATGGGACAAATAGTTCACGATCATAGCAAGAACTTCTTCGTAGGGCAGCTCCACGCGGCTGCGCGGCGGCGCCAGGGCGCCACCCCTTGGCGGCCTGCGCGGCGAACAGCAGGTCGCAAGGGCCCGTCTTGGCAAAGCGTGGGTCGCGCCGCGCCGTGGCCGCGATCACGCGGTTGGCGTAGGTCTGGTGGAAGCCCTTCTCGAACAGCACGTTGATGTAGTCCCGCATAGTGCAGTCCATCCGCATCGGATCGGCGACGATCCTGCGGTGCTGCCCGGCCCAGGAGTCGGGCCCCGTCAGCATGCCGGTGCACGCCTGGCGGCCCGCGGCCGTCCTCGCTGACGCGGCGTTCAGCACGGGCATCCCTGTCGGCGGCTCGATCAGCCTTGCTTGCCCTCTCCTGAGGCACGGGCTGCACGCTCGAGCCCGGGCGGCTCACGGACGGCGCCGGGGGCACCGGCGAGCCCGCCGCCGGCGACGAGGGCCCACGGGCTGAGCGCCCCAGCGCCGGCGAGGACGCCTGCGCGCTCAAGGCCGCGGCAGGCCGCTTGCGCGGATAGCCACAGAGGAGCGCCGATGCCATGTCCATCTGGGTCGCGCCGGCGATCAAGAAAAGGGCCATCAGCAACATATGGACAGGCATGGAGAACATTTGGGCCGCGATGAGGCCGACGGCAAGATGCAGGGCTGACCCCCAAGACACCAAGGTGCTCAGCCAACTCTCAGACGGGCCTCGATACGGGCTCTCCAGTCCCCCCTCGATGCGGTGCTTGTCGGGGCCCATGGGGTACCTCCCGTGCGCGTGGTCGTGCTCCCCCTCCTCGCTGTTCCTGATCGTGCGATGCGCGATGCTCACCTCAAACCTCCTCCCTGTGCAACGGGTACTCTATGACGTCGTAAGCGCGCAGCGTAGTCTTCTGCCAGGGGTTCCTCAAGGGGCTCATTGTCGGAGGATTTCGCAGGACCTTCCTTCAATGCAATTGCAGACGGCAGGCTAAGATCCCCTCGGCCTCGCGACGGGCCATCTGCCACATTATACTCGGACGGTTTCCACCTCATACAGAACGAACTCCCAATAGCTAAAGGAGGAGCCCGATGCGACGCACGATTCCGAACATAGCGCGGCTGCGGGCTCGCATCCTCGACGCAGCCGAGAACGAGAACAAGGAGTCACCCAAGACAAGCAACCGCTTCCCACGGTTCCGAGCAGCCCGGAGGGCATGACGAACGCTGTAGAGAACGGCACGAGCCTCGAGGACAGGCACCCCTTCAAAACGATCCCACCGACGACCTGTGATAGTCCACTGCACATGCTCCAAGCAATTATTGGGTACTTCTGGGAACGCAAGCAAGTCCCGCTCCACTGGCGAGCCGACGGCGTGCCGGCCGCCTGACTGACGGGCGGGATCGCGCAAGTCCGCGCCGAAACCCAGGCCGCAGGCTGCGGCGCCGTCGGCAAACAACTCGGCGGCGCGGGCGCGGCGACGACGAGGCAAGCGCTCAGCCCTGCCATAGCGCCACCTCTCACTATAGCGACCAACCTCCCGAACAGCGCCCACCCTCCAGTCAGCAACGCAGGCGCCCAACCCCCAAGAGGAGGCGTCAACGCAGCCGACAGAGGGCGACCACTGAGCCTGGAGGTCGCGCCAGAGCAGAGGGGCAACGCCATCCCAGGCCACGAGCTCCTGCCTAACCTGAGACCAGAGGGGCACCTCCTGGCGGTAGCACCTCTGAACGAAGCGGAAGCAGGACTCGAGGATTCTGAGCCCCTCCCTCCGCGCGAGCGTCACGAAGAGGATGCGCCCCAGCACCCGCTCCAGATCACGGCCGCTAGCCCGTCCGCATCGGAGCAAACCCCGCACCGCAAGACGGGCCCGCCATAGTCTCGAAGCGGAGGCCGACAGGCGACCCGTGGACGTGAGCGACCATCCCAGGATAGAGTACTCGCCCTCGCTGTCGCCGACGTGACCCTCGTGGTTGACAACGAGGCCGCGTCGCTGGAGTTCGGCCATCACCCGGGCCACGGCGCCCCGCACTGCCCCCGCATCGTAGCCAATATCCACGAAGTTGTCGACATACTTCAGGTGGCATGCGAGCGCCAGCGTGGGCAGAGGGCGGCCATCGCACAGCAGAGAGACGTCGTCGCAGCCCGCCGCCTCGGCCGCCCGCTCCATCACAGACTGGCACCACCACGTGGCCCAGGACCAGCCCATCGGCGCGACGCGCAGCCGCGGGTGGAGCTTGGTCGACGCCTTGACGGCGCGGCCTTCGACGTCGCTGACCCCGACCGCACCAGCACGAACGGGCCTGAAGGTAAAAAGGGAGCGGAGCTGCTCCGACAGCTAGAGGTGGTAGATGGCGTCCTTCAGGCCGGCGCCCTCCACGGTGAGCAGATCATCACTGTCAGTCATCTCGAGCGTGCCAATCGCGTCGCCCGTCGCAAGGCGGACTCCGAGGGCCTCGGTGAACATCTCATTCGAACGGCGACAGTCCGCCACCATAGGAAGTCGGCCCCCCTTCTCCTCGGCGAAAAAGATCTCGGCCCTGACGCCATCATCCAAATGGAAGCCCACCAGGTGCCGATCCAACAGTAACTGAACAAAACTGATACACCTGCGCTGATCTCGCAGAAGAGGGTCGGAATAAGGCACTGGCACTGAGCTACGCCGTCGTAGTGAAGCCGCCTCGCTCGGATGAAGCACTCCGCAGAAAGAACTGTTCGACCTCGGCTTGCCCGCGCCCCCCCCCCGCACGCCCGCCAGCGGCACGGGCGCGGAACTGACATCCGGCATAGCGAGGGGCGCGGGGTCGCAGCTCCCGAGAGGCGACTGCTCGACGGCGCAGGCACCCCCGGCCACACGAAGCTGCACGAGCGCTTATGCGGGGGAAAGCGACGAGGGCGGCGCGCCAAGATACCGCGCAGACTCGTCGATGTGGACGCGACACATGCGCTGAGCAAGCGACGGGCCCACATAGCGCGCAGGTCGGCCACGACCACCCGCGAGAAAGGAAACGCGAAGCCAATCCAGGCATCCCGCGACCCAGCCTGCGAGCCCCTTAGCAAAGGCCTTCTCCAGAGGAGTTACGGCGCAAGGGTGCGGCAGCGAAGAGATGCCCCGGGGCCGACGTCTGCCAGAATCGTGGACATCTTGGGCATGTGCTGGACCACCGAACCAGCAGATTTGAAGGGGTTCCGATGCTGTGCTGACCCCCCTCCGAGGACAGCACGGGCGCCAGGCTGACCCATTCTTGCGCCTGGACTCCCGTTCCTCACGGGCCAGGCGCAAGCTCTTGTGCAACTTCGCTTCCTTCTCCACATCGTCGTGGACGTGCTCGATCACCTCAAGAGAAACCATCACCGACGAAGTAGACCTCGACATGCCCGAAAGGGCCGCCTGCTCCTCCTGGCTCATCTTGCCCCCGACGCCTTTGCTCTCGGCGTCCTTGGCCTGGTCCCAGTCGCAAATTCGATCGTCTGGAGCCTCCTGAACTTCATCCCAGTGCAGATCAGACTCGTACCATCGAGGAAGTCCTGGCAGGTGGCCGCCTTGATCTGTTGGCACAGCTGATAGTGCTCCTGCACCCCCCAGTCGGTGGCGCCGAGCTTACAGATCTGGCGGAAGTGCTTGCGGTGACCTTCGATGCCGAGGCCCTCCCGCTGCAGGTTGTTCATTCACCACCCAGCGGTCCTTGGCCCAGGCAGCGCCCAGTCCGAGCCGAAATCCTCCTACCGCGTCATCTCCAGCATCTCGTGCCAAGGGACATCCCGACGGCCCTGAGCATCTCGGACGATGGGAAGGACCCTCGCATCCGCGTCGACGGCCTTCCGAAGGAAAGTCTCCAGCGCCGCTGGGGCCACCAACTCCACGAAGAGCCCCTGGCCATCAAGAAAGACATGGATATTGCGATCCTGCACCCGCCCAGCCGTCGGGACGTGACCCGGCACCTCGTCGCAAATGCGCAAGCCGACCTCGCACGCCGCCGCACGCCACGCGCCGACGGCGTCGGCAGCGCCGCCCGAAGGCCCCAGCGGCGCCGCGCCGCGCAGGAGGCCCACCGCCGGGCCGGCAGGTGCCACCGGCACCACAGCGCCGCCGCCGCAGCCGGGCACCACCAGCGCGCGCAGATTGGTGAGCAGCCCGAGGTTGCCGACAGCAAGCGCCCGCGCGGGGCACTCCGCGACAGCGATCTTCTCCGCCTCCAGGGTGAGTTGGGCCAGCTCCGCATCGGTCGGCTCCGCCCGAAACCTGTACACCTGGTTCGGCGCGATGCCTGGCGGCGGCGGGTCGAAGGCCCCGAAGCGAGCGGCCTGCACGTCCGGGTTGTTGGCCAGCGCCACGATGTACAGGTCACCGTCCGCGGTGTAGATCACATAATCAGCCTCGGATGAAGCCACCAGGCCCAAATTCAAGTGCTGGCGCCACACCGCCTCGCCGGCGAAAAAGACGCATGCCCATCGTGTCGCCACCGCCGCCATCGCTATAACCAGCCAGAGCCCGCACACGAGGACGAGCGTCGCGACGAGCGACCGCGCTGCAGCAGCCCAGGCACGCTGCCGCCACCAAGAAGCCGACCACCCTGCCGAGCAGCCCCACGACCAGGGCACGCGCGTCGGCGCCGACGTCCGAGGCGACCGCAGCGCCTCCGGCAAGCGGACCCCCCTCCGCTGCCGGCGGAGACGGTGGTGGCTCAGGCGCCGCGCAGGCCTCGCAGGCCAGGCAGGCGGGCACCGGGCAGGGCGGCGGCGCAAGGCACACCGCCGGGGCGACCTCCGCGCACGGCGGGATCGCGGGGCACTGCAGCGAGCACCCTGGGCAGGGAGCGGGCGCGCCACACGCCAGGGAGCAGGTCGGGCACGGGGGGCAGGATGGCACCTGCGGACACCTGGTGAGGTATGAGACCTCCCCTGAAAACGCGTGGTCTGTGAGCCTCTCCCACATACTCAAGACTTGAGCGACATCAAACGGCGGCGGCCATCAAGAGATCATCGGAAACCCGTGAAATCACGACAATCATGAAAGCTGCTAGAAGCAACGCGGTCATATGCGGCCCATCCCAGGTCAGGCAAATGTCCACCATGGCCCGAAGAAGGGCACAAGGGAGAGGCGGGCACAAGGTTGGCGGCTTGGACGGGCGCCACCGGCCCGCAACATCCCAAGCATCAGCAAGGGATAGCATCCAGTGGGGACGCAGCGCTTGCACGCCGAGGATGGCGTGCACGAGGACGTTAGGGAGGCCCGCGTTGTGGAGCCAATCCCGAAAACCGCGAGCATTCTCGCCGCGAGGACGACGCCGCGGCACAGCTTCGCCAGGGCGACGCCACCGCTGGCGATCGCCCGTGAGATGCACCGCGCGCACGCAAGCGCTAATGGGGGCGGACGGCGGCGGTGGCGGTGGCGGCGGCGCAGGGGGCACCGTCGTGACCAACGCGGCCAGGGCTTCGGTTCTCCGCTGCCCGCGCCGCCGCTTCTCGCCGAAGAGGCGACTCTCCAGCGCGGCGGCGAGACCACGCCCGGCACCGGGAAAACACAACCCGCCAGGCGTGGCAGGGGGCGCCCCAGGCGAGGCGAGGGCACGAGCCCCGTCCTCACCACCCGAGAGCCCCCCCCCGATCCTCCAGGAGACGCTCGGCGGGGAGAAGCGCCTCCGACGGGCCCCGCCAACCCCTGCGAGAACGCACCGCCCCCGCTGGACCGACCGAGCCGCGCCGCGAGGCGCTCGCGGAGCCAGCGCGAGGCGACGCAGTGGGAGGCGTGCCCCGTGCGCGGTGCCAGTCTCCCACGGAGGGGCGTTGCGCGGACAACTCGCGGTCGCCTTCGAGCGAAAAGGCCGACCGACGCCTCGGAGCGGCCGTCTGGCGCAGCCCGCGGACGAGCGCGCAGCGCAGCTTCGGCGCCAGGGGCAGCGCCATGCCATGAGCGGCTGGTGGGCCCGCAGGCACCGCGCTGCTAGGCGCCCCTGAAGAATCCGCGCGGACGCGAGCACCAGGCGCCCGAGGGGCTCCGCGATGGCCCGGCGCGCAGCCCTGCTCGAGGCACCCCCTCAAGGAACCTGGGAAGCCGCAGGCGCGCGGCCTGCCTGCGCCAGCGAAGCCCTGCCGGGCCCGCGGAGACGCGGCCGGCGGGCGACCGATGGCGTGGGCCCCGAGAACTCCCACTACGCCAACCACCATTACGGTTCGACCCGCGGCCCCCGACGGCCTCCGCGCCTCGCGGTCCTGCCCCCACCTCAGCTCTCCTCCTCCTCTTCTTTTTCCTCCTCCTCCTCCTCCTCCTCCTCCTCTCCTCCTCCTCCTCCTCCTCCTCCTCCTCCTCCTCCTCCTCCTCCTCCTCCTCCTCCTCCTCCTCCTCCTCCTCCTCCTCCTCCTCCTGCCTCCCCCAAGAGCTCCCCCGAGGGTTTGCACATAGGCCGAGAGAACACGCAGTCCAATAGCTTGGCCAGACGCTGGCCCGACGTTTGGCCCCAGCGCTGGAAGAGCACGGAGCGGCCGGCACCTCAGCTTCCAAGCACCAGACATCACCTGAAGCCGCCAGTGGGGCCCTCCCTCTCGCGAGGTCGGAAACCGCGGCGCCCTCACTGAGAGACCGCAGCGAAGCGGCCAGTGTCCTCCGGCAGGGAGCGGCGCACGGGGCCCGCCCGCGGGCCCCGGGCCAGGTGGCCCGAGGTCGCGCAAGGGGCAACTCCACGAGTTGCGGAACGCGGGCCTCCTCGAAGCCAAAGCCGAAGCGCGCCCCCGCAGAGGCAGGGCTGGCACGCCTCCGGGCACCGCGGCCCGCTCGGGGCGCGAGCCCACCCGACGCAGACGGAGCCAACGCGGCGGGCCGCGAGGCCCTCGTGGCTTGGGGGCGCCGCGCATGGCGGTCCGACCCCACGGGTCGCGCAGTCAATCGGCGGGCCGTCGAGCGATGGCCACGTCGTCAACCCGCGCCCCTGCCTGCGCCAGCGCGCACAGATCGCCGATGGCGGCGGGGCCGCGAGAGGCTGGGCCTGCGCCCACGCGGCCACGGCTGTCCGACAGCACCTGGGGCGCCACTGCTGGCGCTCAGCGCTCCTCGGGGCCGGGGCCCCATCGCGCCCTCACCGCGCGCCGCCGCGCCGAGGGCGGCGGGTAAGGCGACGGCGGCCTCGGGCAACGAGCCTTCCCCAACGGGGCAGCGAAAACGACCCTCAGGTCCGCTAACCGCGGGCGCTGCGGGCTCGCCTCCAGCAAAGGGGGCAGAATTCGCGGTCCTGAGCGGGGTCATTCGCGCGCAGTGCACATCCGCTGGGGCGCACGGCCCTCCAGGGCACAGCCCTCCCCCCACGACGCAAGGCGCCGCGGTGCTCAGACCGCGGGAGAAGCCCGGGTTGCAGGTCCGCCCATGCGGCGCAGCCCCCGGGGCAACCTTGGAGTCGAGAGGCACGGCGCTACGTGAGCTTGGCTCGCAGATCGCACAGTGCTCCCCAAATGCTCCTGCACCTGCAGACCCGTTTCCAGGAGGTCGGTGCGGCGCGGGGCGCGCAGCTCCCGCTGGCACACCGGCTCGAAAGGGAGAGCTTCAGCCAGCCCCCCCGCCCACTGCGGCGCCGCAACGGGCCCCAGGGACACGGCCCCCAGGAAGGAGCATCGGAGGTGGACAAACCTCCCTTTAGTAAACCTCCCCTTAGTGAAAGCGGCCTGGGACCGAAACCGACGGACCCAGACCCGGAAAAAGGACGGCCGCGACGCCCTCTCGCGAACGGGCAACGGCCAGTTCCTGAATCGACGCGTCAGGGTAGGAGGTCTATCCACCTCCGAGAGCAAAGGGAGGATGCGAGCGGTCGCCGCAGCGACCACTGGATCCTCCGGCGGGCGGCACGCCGGCCGCCGGGCTCGGCGCGGCGCCGGAGCTCTCCGCACGGACAGGGCGGGGCCACAGGCGCGCGCCCGCACCCGCGCGGCCTCTCGGACGGGCCAGGCCCGCAAAAGCCAAGGGGAGCGCTGCGCGCGAAGGTCAGCTTTCCAGCGGCGGAGGGGCGTTCTTGCCGACGGGTTCGAGGGGCGCTGGCTGCGGGCCACGCTACAGAAGAGGGCCCTGGAGGCTGCGGGGGCCGAGGGGGCGCAGCCACAGCCACAGCAGCAACCACCGCAGCCGCAACAGCACCACCAGACACAACCACAGCGCGGCTCGGCACGCGAGGGGGCTGAGGGGGCCGAGCAGAGCCGCGAGAGCGCACGCCAAGTACGCGCAGGCCTGCGGTTCGCTCCGGGCGAGACTGGGCAATCAGAGCTCCTGCGTGTCGGCGGGCTGGAGGCTGGAGAATGGAAGGGCCGGCGGAACGCGGAGCGAGTGGAGAGCGCCCCGAGCACGCCTGGAGCGGCGCGAGCCGACGCGAGGCCGCGGCGCGCACCCTCCTCCCCCTCCTCCTCCTCCTCCTCCTCCTCCTCCTCCTCCCCCTCCTCCTCCTCCTCCTCCTCCTCCTCCTCCTGGCCCGCTGCTGCAGCCAGGTTTGATGATCCACGCTGAGAACATCCGCACAAGGCGGCCGTGGCGATGGGAGCCGGCGGATGGTCTGCGCAAGAGGGCCGACGAGCACCGAAGCTCTTCAACGAACCCTCGTGGGCGCTGTCGGCCATCACGACAGCCACGTGGCCGCCCATGGCCACAGCGATCGAAGCCAGCCAGCCGTGGGCGCCAGACGCCGCGAACCCGTGGCTCAGGAAGCGCACTCCGAGCCCGGACCTCCGTGCTCGAAAGGCAGGGACACGCAATTCATCACAACACCTTGGGGGCAATTCGCCTGGCTGCAGCAATATCCTGCACAACAGGAAGCCCTGGCCCAGCCCCATCGGTGCAGGATGAGGCGCTGGTGCAAGAACTAGTCACCAGAGTGGGGGTGAGAATTGAACGATCGCAGTCGTCATCCTTGGCCACGCGGTATGCCCCGCAGGCCTCGTCCAAAAAGAACTTTATCCGTACACATACGCACGCCTACATACGCACACCGACGTACATACATACATACATACATACATACATACATACATACATACATACATACATACATATATACATACATACATGCATGCATACATACATACATACATACATACATACATACATACATACATACATGCATGCATGCATACATACATACGTACGTACGTACGTACGTACGTACCTACATACATACATACACACATACATACATACATACACACACAGACATACATACATACATACATACATACATACATACATGCATGCATTCATTCATACATACATACATACATACATACATACATCCGTACAGGCATACATACATACATACATACATACATGCATGCATGCATGCATGCATACATGCATACATGCATACATGCCAGCCTGCATGCATACATACGTGCAGACATACATACATACATACATACATACGTACGTACGTACGTACATACATACATACATACATGCATGCATGCATGCATGAATGCATACATACATACATACATACGTACGTACGTACGTACATACATACATACATACATGCATGCATGCATACATACATACACACATACATACATACATACGTACATACATGCATACATTCATACATGCATACATGCATACATGCATGCATGCATACATGCATGCATGCATACATGCCAGCATGCATGCATACATACGTGCAGGCATACATACATACATACATACATACATACATGCATGCATGCATGCATGCATACATACATACATACATACATATACATGCACAGCTGCATACACATTTACATGCATGCATATAGACAGTACATACATACATGCATACATGCAGACTTACATGCATGCATACATACATACATACAGACGTACACAAACATACGTACATGCAGACATACATACACACATGCATGCATGCATACATACATACATACTGATCGGCAGCTGTACGTACAAACATACACACATGCCTACATACATGCACGCATACATGTCATCACAAAACAATACGTTATAATCCATTGCATTACATTACAAATCATTACATCACATACGTATATACATACATGCATGCATACAGACACACAAATAATCAAACAGGCAATCAAACAAACATATCTATGCATACATAGATATATACGTACGCACATACATACAAGCAGACAGCCAAACAGACATACCTGCATACATACTTAAATAAAAGCATACCTACATACATAAATACACAAATACACACTCTCTCTCTCTCACACCAAGTGTCCAGAGTTCCAAACTTTAGGTATTGAAATGAATACTCTGAGAACCTAGACGGTGCTCGCCAATTTGGCGTCTCGTGTTGGCACCGCGCAGCTCGTGAATGTGAGCAGTGCGGCACAGAAGCGGCGCACACACAAACCAGCTCACCGAGGGGGGCGTCCCCGACCCCGAGCTTTCCCCTGGGGCCCTCGGCTTCGCCCCCGTCCCCGAGCGGTGAGAAGGGTGGTGCGCGCGTCAAGGGGAGGGCGAGTGGGGCGAGGGGGCATGGAGGCAGCAGCAGAAGGACTGCGAGCGGGCGGAGGACGGGGGGGAGGTCGTCGCTGGGGGGGTGGGAGTCCTACCCCCCAAGCGCCAGAGACTGGATATTCCCTCTCGAGCCGGTCTCGAGCAGGTGGTGAGGAGCGGGTGCGGGAGGCGAAAGCCTCAGAAGTCGAAGTAGTTGCACTCGGTGCCGTGCAGGGTGGTGCACATGGCGGCGCCGAGCTGCTCGAGCCACTGCTTGCACCAGCTCGAGATTTCCCACATGAAATGACCGAAGTCGTGAAGGTGGTAGCACTCGGTGCAGATGGAGGTGGTGTGCGTAGCTGCTGCACTACCTGGCTCTGAGCTGGAGTGGCTTTCAGCATCCTCATCGACCGTCCATCTATCTCCACGTCGAGGTCGGTAGTACTCACACATCGTTGGCCAGCGCATCCATGTAGAGGGCCAGCTCGTCCTCCACGAAGCCCGCGGGGGCAGGGCCCAGGCAGGCCGGCTTGCTGGCGTTGTGAAGGGCAGTCATGATCTTCTGGCGTACTGAGATGTCGCGGCAGTGGTACATGATCTTCGCGGTGCCGCTCTTGTACGCCTTCTCGACCTTGCATATCGGGAACATGTCCTGGGCCTCGTACGCGTCGAGCTCGTTGATCGCCTGGATCGCCGCCGTTAACTCTTCCTTGCTCTTGGCTCCAATGTCCTGCTTCACCAAGGATTCCATCATGGCCATCGCTGCGCCTGGGGCTGGGGGGCCCTTTCCGTGATTTTCTCCTTCTTGGCGGATCATCTTGGCGTAGCTGCGGTTCTCCGTCTCGATCGCCTCCACCAGGGGGTCGGTGTCGTCCACTTTCACTGTCGTGATGATGCATCCCTTGAGCTCGCGCACCTGCCTGGTGTTCTGGTACGTCGCCCTCAGGATGACGAGAAGCAAGTCCTTCATTTCCTGGCTCATCTTGGGCGCCGTCTTTTCCTTGAACGCGGCACCCCGTCGACGCCGAACTCGGTTGAGGGTTGCTTTCTTGGGGTCGAACTTCGAGCTCTCGTCCTCCATCGATTCTCCGTCCTGGCCTTTGCGCTGCTCGCGCGTCTGGCTCCTGGAGCGCTCGGGTCGCTCGGGTCTGCCTCGACTGCCACCAGCTCCAGACGCTACTGAGGACGCCTGGGGGGCACGCCATCCCGCCCTCTCGGGCGTTGGGTTCACGCCCGACGGAGGCATCCTGGGCGTCGGTCGGTGCTGGAATAGGCGCTGGTGTAGGTGCTGGCGGTGGGATCGATAGCGTGTGAGCACCCAGTACGTCTTGAGGTAGATGGCTACGGAGATGCGCGCGCATCATGCTGTACTCTTCGAAGGACTCGTAGCATATAGGGCATGTAAGTGACTTTGGCGATGTGATAGGATATGGGGCCCAAGTCTGATCCGTGCGGCATGTATGTGACCTCCCATACATACATACATACATGCATGCATGCATGCATGCATGCATGCATGCATACATACATACATACATACCTAGAATTTGCCGCTGCCAGCCCGATCTATGCGGACACGCGCAGGGGGTAGGCCCGTCGGCTGATGCGAGGGTGACGCCTTCAAAGTAAGGACTTGGATCCAGAATGGAAGGGTCCCATTCACACCTATCGTGTCAGACCACACGAACGAAGCAAACCCAGAATCACGCGACGGCCAACCTGCATTAGGCGACCAACATGCGAAACCTTGGCCAACGCAGAACGACTTAAACGGGCGTAACCACGGCTCCGTAGCAGGGCTGTCCTGCGCATGCACCCAGATGCCGTGCCTAAGCGCCGTCGGTTGGCAGGTAGGAATCGCACCCCCAAGGGGGCCAAAGGATAATGGAAGTAGGAGGGCAGGGACGAGAAAGAAAAAAGGACAAACTCATTGCGCGGATATCCCGGACGGATCTGCCAACCATTAATATACAGCCACAACGGAGCCAACGGAAAAGGAGGGGGGGGCAGAAAAACGGCATGGAACCGGGAACGGCAGAAGACAGCACGGAGCGAAGCCAGCCAGCGACACATGCTGGAGCAAATACTGCAACGGCGCAGTTCGTTTGAAAGATCGAGGCCCCTGCGCGAATAGAAGTCCCCTGCGCGAGTACATCAACAAAAGTGGGAGAATACACGAGGTCCCACACGCAGCTGCCGCGCGGGACGTCCCCCCCAAAAAAAAAAAAAAAAAAAAAAAAAAAAAAAAAAAAAAAAAAAAGTCCTGGCACATGGGGACACGGTGGAATCCCACCAGCCCTCTGGGCGTCGGTGGTTTACAGCGTTTCCTCTTCCACCCCTCCTTCTTCCCCTTCGGGGAGGGGTTTACCCCTCCCCCTACCCCCTCCCCACTGACCTGGACAGGGGGGGCGGGGAGCGGTCAGAGAGTCCAAAACGGCCTCGCCGAGGAAGCCAAAATCATTGATTTTACCAAGGTTTTGGCCCTATTTTGGCCCCCAGAGGAGGCAGTACTAATTGAAGCTCCCCTCTTCTTTGATCGATTTCCTCCACGATGGCCTCAAGAAGCGCCCAGGAGGCACCAAGAGGCCCCAAGATGGCCCCAAAATGGCCCCAAGAGGCCCCCAGGAGGCCCCCAAGAGGATCCCAAACGGCCCAAAGAGGCCCCCCGAGGCACCCAAGACGCCGAAAAGCCCCTCAGGACGACCCTCTACTCGCCTGGGCATCGTTTCTGGACGGGCCGCGGCCGTGGCTAAATTCCCGAGCGCGCGCGGAGCCGCGGCTCAGGCGGCGGGAGCGGCAACCCAGGGTGTCTGAGGGGCCAGCGTCGTGCAACCCCAGGGAGTCTGAAAGGTCAGTCACCTGAGACAAACGTGCAAGCTGCATCCCAGGGAGTCTGTGAGGTCAACCCTGAGGCGAGCCAAGCGCAGCCAAAATGGCGCGCAGTACGTCCCGTCGCGACCGAGTACGCAGACCGCGTGGTAGGGACTATCACCGTGCAGGAAGGTCACCCAAACCTGACGGGTATGATCAGGCAGTACTGGTGACGTCGTCCAGCAGGAGAGGCTCTGACGGCGCCAGCGAACCGTCGCAACATCAGAAAAACGCATCCACGCAAAGGATCTAGGCCAGAGCAGCCAGAGAGGACCCAACCACGGCGGAGCGATGCGCCTGCGTAACGAAACCAGCAAACTGGTCGGGACGCAAGGGGGTACACATAAGCACAGCGAGAACGCAGGGCTCAGAGTGACGTGTACCGAACAACTATGTGACGTAGCGCCAGGCGGCTAACTCAACCATGCGCGTGCGCTCGATAGGACAGCAACCGTCGAATACCCAAGACGGCAAATCCATCACAGTCACAGAGTCCCAGGGAATTTGAAGTGCTCTCTCGGCCGGCCGCCCATCCCAGGCCCTGGGGAGCCCACCGAGACCGTTGGTCTAGGCGGCTCTCGCGCGCTCGCGGGTCACAGGGCGAGCCAGGGACGCAACCCGCAGGGCTCAGAAGGCCTCGACCCACTCCACGAATTCCTCCTTCGTGACGGAGGGCTTCGCCTTGTCAAAGTGCTGGTAGAGCAGGGTGGCGAACTCGTCAATCTCCATGCCAATGGGGCCCCTCCTGGACCACTCCGACAGCTCAAAGATTGTGATCTCGCCGTCGCCGTCTACGTCCAGCATTTCGAAGAAGTAATTTAAGTCGGCGAGTACTTGATCACGCGGCCTGTCTTTGGTGGCCAGCATGACGAGGGCCTTGAACTTCCGTTCCTCCAGCTCAACGTCCCGGTGTTGTCGAAGTCAACAAGACGGATCACGCTGTTCGCGGTCTCGACGCCGGGCCCGGTGTCCGCCGAGACCCAAAGGGTATCGAGCGTCTGGGAGATCTCGTTGGCGCAAACCGTTTCGTCGTTATTGACGTCCCACGCTGCGTAGATCTTCCAGATGTCGAGCTTATCGGCCTGTGGTATCTCCCTGAACACATTGGCGCCCTTCTCCCACTTCTCCTTCGCCTTCTCCGACGACCAATCCACGTGTCCTGCTACAGCCCACGGCTCCCCCGCATTCTTGGCCCGCTGAGCCATGGTGAAAATCTGGAAGAGCCGAACGAAATCCTTCAACAGCCCTTCCTTGGTCTTCAAGGATACTCTCCGGATGGTTTTCATGTCCTTCTTCTTCTCGATGGAGTTGCGCATGGTGAACCTCCTGAGGAAGATGGGCACCACGTAGAACAGCATGATCGGCCACTCCACCCACGCGAGCGAGTAGAGCGCGATTTCCAACTTGTTCTCGAACGGCTCCGAGAGAAGCGCGACGATAAGGGAGGTGACAACGCACGCCTGCCAGAAGGCGATGATCTGGAAGGCCCTCTGGTACGTCGACCTCTTCAGGCCAGTCATGCTGACCCTGGAGCTGTCGTCGAGCGCCTCAGGGCGTCTCAGCGTCGGGATCGGCGCGCCCTCTGCGTCACCCAGGCCTGGAATGGGCGACTCCACGGCGTTGGACTGCGCCCCCTGAGTCGGCGCGAACGCGGAGTTCGTGCCCTCCAGCAAGCGCAGGATCTGCCGGCCGTCCTTCGGAACCTTCGGGGTGAGCTGGTAAGTCTCCTCCTGGAGCTTCGAGCACAGGTACAACCCCGCGGCCAGGAGGGACCACGCGCAGGCGCACTGCACCGCCTCCACCCCGACAAAATCCAGGCTGACGCAACTGTAGACCAGCGGAATGAGCGTCACCAAAGTAAGCAGCCACGTCTTCAGGTCCACCTCCACGAGGCTGAGCACGGCGGTGGAGAGCCTCTCGCCGAGGTACTCCTGGAAGCTGAAGAACCGAGGCGGCGGCATCTCGGTTTTCTGAGGCGCGCTCGGAAACAGGAACTCGTGCCTGATGACACGCCACAGGAGGAGCCTCCTGATAGAGTTATCCAGCTGAGATCGTTCCCACGGAGATAGATCTGCCGACGTCTTCCACTCGAACGGCTTGACGTAGACAAGCTCTTGTCCTCGAGGCTGGTCAGGGGCATGCCGCCTCTCGAGATACCGGGTCTCGATGAACCTGGACTCCAGGGAGTACTCCGCGGCCCCAAAGGCGCGCGACCGCTCGAACTCGTCCCACGCATCCAAAACCTTGCGCGAAGCTGTGAGCACGGCCGCGGCCTGCAAGAGCAGCACCGTCAGCAGCATGAAGATCATGATGCGCACGATCTCGAACGTCTCCGCGAGCGGGTTCGGCGCCTCAGCCGCCGCGCCCGCGACGGCCGCCGCGGCGCCCTCCGCTGCCGCCGCCACGGCCTCTCCGCCGTGGTGCCCACCGATGCCGAGGATCTCCACGAGGCTGCCGGCCAGCCCGCTCTTCGTGCCTAGAAACAGAAATAATCCAATATAGCCCAGGCTGGTCACCTCCTTGAAGAGCGAATCCAAGATCTTCTGACCCGTCTCGCCCCCCGTATCGGCCATCCTTTTTCGCAAGGCGTGCTCCCCAGCCTCGAACAGGCCAGAGAGGACCACAACCGCCGCCAACTCTCCGATGAAGATGTTGGGGCCCTCCCTCAGCTCGCCTACGAACTCCGCGAAGATCGCCCTGCGCCCGGCCGCGGGCGCCCTTCGCCCAGCCGCGGGCACTCCTCGCCCGGGGCGGATAGGCCCTTCGGGCCGCCCACTCCAGCGGCGGCCTCGCTGCGACAGCACCGCCGGCGCCCGGCGGGGGACCGCCGCCGACGCGCGGGCCCCAGCACGAGGCAGGACGCCGAAGGCCGCACTGGCCCCGCATTCCCCGGCCGCCGCCGCCGCCGCGGACGCGACCGCGGCCAGCACGGCAAGCCGTCCGGGATCGGGCGCCGGCGCCGCCAATCCGAGGCGGCGGCGAGTCAGCCTCTGTCCGCTCCTGCGCGGCATGGCCGGCTACCCCCCTGGCCGCCGCCCGGGCGCAGCAGCAGCGGGCAGGCCCGCCCGCCGCAGGCCAGGGCGCCCGGCGGCGCACCCTCTCGAGGACTTGAGCCAGAGGGCCACGGAGATGGTGGGGATATTTTTTTTTTACAGCCGCAGGCGGAAGCGCCAGCGGCGGAAGGTCGAGAACGGGCCGCGGACGCGACTAAATTACCTAACGCGCGCAGGGCCGCGGATCAGGCGGCTCACGACAGCGTCCAGGGGGGCAAGCCGATGCAATCCAGGTGCCATGACAGCCCCTGAACGGGCACGCAGGTGCGTCCCACAGGCCTGAGGTAGGCAGAGACGACTTAGCGCAGCCAAAATGGCGCGATAACGTTCCAACGTCCAGGTGCGGACAAAGGAACGACCCGAGGACGGCAGCCCCAGCCTGGCGGGTAGCACAGACGACGTAGTAAGTCCGACGAGGATCCCGACGGCGGCAGCGAGCCGCGGCGCCAGAACGACATCAAGGTGCATCCACGTTCCGAGAAGACTACCACACCGAGATGTTTCGGCCCAGACCCAGCGGGTGGAAGGGCACCTGACGCACGCTACCCGTCGAAACGCGGCGTGTGCACACCACAGTGTCACAGTGCAGTCCAAAGAGACGGAGAGCACAGGCGGAACGAGACCGTGCATACCCAGGCAAGTCCCACAAAGCCACTGATCCAGGGTCGCGGTAGGAAGCCGCCAAGCAATGGGAGTCCAGAGGGCACCGATCCATGGAGCCTGAAGGGTACCACAGGCTGACTGGGAACAAGGACCAAGGGAAAAAGCTGACGGCGAGCCAGACGCAACGCAAGAAGCGCATCCAGGGTGTGGAGTATGAAGACAAGACAGAACATCCACAACTGAGATGCGACAGCCCAGATCCGACGAGTGAAAGGGGGTAGAAGAGCACGATACACGGCAGACCCCGAGGAGTATGCACATCTAAGGTGGCCCAGCGATACCCAACCGAGTCGTCTAGCACAAAGGGACGAGGACGCCTTGTACCCGAGACGTGTCCCTCAGAGCCAATGGATCCAGGGTGACGGCGGAAGGCCGTGCTTCTTGTTTGAAAAGTCCAGGGTGACGGCGGAAGGCCGATCGTTCGGTTAGAAATTCCAGGGGGAAGCCAGTGGTCAGGCGAGCCGTGGCCCACTGACAGGCCAGGAAGGCCTGGCGGTGAGACAACTACAGTAGGGCCTGAGGCCGCGAGTCCACTGCGGAGAGGCGGTGGACGGTATTGCCGAAACGCGCACCTGGATCCAAAGGCAGGAGGTGCGCGCATCGGGTGGAGGGCGGCAGAGCGCCGCGATTAGGGGCCCGCGGCGCGGCCTGGGCAGCGTCCGCTGGGATTCAGGAAGTGAAACAAGGCGGGGAGAGAGGAGCCGAGTGGCAAGAGGGTGTCGGCCACCGGTGGAGAAAGGCAGTGATGCCAGTGGCAAGTGGTCTGAAGGATGCGTGGTGTCACGCGCGGAGCAGACGGCATTACCGAACGGCACCCCAAGGCCAAGGGTGAGAGAGGGTGCCGCTCAGGGGAGGGGAGGCAGAGCTGCCCCAGGTTGAGGGAAAGGGCGGCAGAGGGCCGCGGTGGCGTGTTGTGAAGCGCAGGTGGTGGGGCGGGCACTGGGGGGCGGTGAGGGCAGAGAGGGAGTTCAGTCTTTCCAGCGGAGTCTCTTTTCCTCTCGATCATCCCGATCATCAGGGTAACCTCCGCCGCGCTTGCCACCCGCCTGCCAGTGATCCTCACGCCATCCGTCGCGCCACTCGCCCTGCCAACTGCTCCAGGTGCCCCAGGAACTTGTCGCACGGTCGCGCCAGCCCGCGTGGCGATAGCCGCCTTTGCTCCAGTCGTCTGTCTGGGAATGACGCAGGCAGTTGGCTCGTATCTTGTTCCAGTCGATATCATAGCCCAGCCTCCTGTTCATCTTGTAGGCGTCGTACCCGCAGTCCTTCCAGGCCTCTAGGAGTTGATGATATCCGAGGGCATGTGTAGTTTCGGGTCGGACTTGGGCGCCCTCCATCCAGGGAGCAGGGTACGCTGCGTGTTCGCTGTCCACAGTGCGCAAAAGACTGCTCCCAGCTGCGACTGTAGCCTGGATATGCGACTGGCTGGTGTCTCGTCGGGACGTTCGAGTTCGACGGTGCCCAGCCTGATTTTGTACATTGGGCCGCCTCCATCAGGGCAGGACAGCATGTTGAGTGCGTCCTGCTCCGAAGAGCCAGTATGGCGAGAGTAATGGGGCCTCCGCTCAGGGGGCGTCGGGGTGGGCGCGGGAAAGCGCTCGCACCGCGAGCCGCCACCGTCGCTGGTCCTCTCGTGCCTCGCGGGGTCTCGAGCTGGAGCCCTCCTGCGATCGGCGTAGGGCGTGTCTTCTGCGACTGAAGTCGCGGTATCCTCGCGGCTGGTGTCAGGGCTGCCCGCCGACGGGCTACGCTGTGGGGCATCGCCGCCTGAGCGATTATCATCACCCTCCTGGGCCGACTCGGAAGGCGTGGGAGGACGGGCGGGTCCATCCTCTTCGTAGTCGGGCTCCACCTTGTGAAGGGGGAGCCCGTCTTCCGCGCCTTCACCGCTGTCGTCGTCGGGCGGGTCATGGTGGCCCATGCGTGAGTCGTCTGCTGAACCCTGAGACCTGTCTGTGTCGGCCGCCATGGGAGTATCTGGCCTGTCGTCGCCACCAGAACACGCGCCAGATGGCGGGGACCCTGCCAGGGAGGTGATCTCTGGCGCCGCGCCAGAGCTGCCTGTGGGGCTGGGTCCAGGGGGATTGCTTGCTCCGACCTTGGTGAATTGGTCCTGGGCCTTGGCGTCCTCGCCAAGCCACGGGAGGGAATCCACGATGTCCACAGGTGCCTCGAACCCAATCTGGCTGCTGAGCGGGGGAAGGGCCGGAGGTTCACCTGGATACAGCGGCCTGAAGTCGCGATCCAGGATGTGGTCCAGGGTGGCTGGGCCAATGTTCCAAATCGGGACCAGACAGCGCCGGCAGCACCAAGTAGCGTTCCAGTGGCGCCCCCACCAGGCCAGGGCACGCTTATCGATGGGGGGAGCCCATGTTGCTCGGGAACTCCTATGTCTTCAGCCGGCTTCCATATGAAGCACCCCAGCGGCGGAGAGCCGGGGTCCCAGACCAGGAGCGGGGCCCCCTGGGGGCAGGTGTCGCACCGCGCGGAGTAGGTCCGCGTTTGAGCGGCTTTGATGCCGAAGCGGTCGTCCCGGATCCAGAGGACCGGAATGGTGGTATTGGCACACTCGGGGATCTTTATGCCCGTCGGTTCCATGCATGGAGGTCATCTAACTGCCTCGTGTCCGCCAGGGGGCTGCAGCCGTAGCCGAGCGGAAGGAGTCCCAGGGAAGGGAGGGCACTCGCTCTGTCGTTGCCGGTCCCCGATATCTGCTGCTCATGTTCCCTGATTCTGTCGGTGAGCTTCGTTCCGGCAGGCGTAGGGAAGCCATTGTCCTCGAGGTTCCGTATCCAGCAGCCAGCGCAGTACCAGCCCATGTTGGCGCCGTTGATGTACGCCTGAGGTCTATTCTGAGCGACCATCTGGCGCGTGCTGTCGGAGATCCAGGTACCTTCAGCGGCAGTCAGGTGGTCCTTCCCGCAACTGTCGCACGTGTATATGTTGTTCTTCTTTTCAAGCGCGAGCCTTTCGTCGGGGATGAACGGAGGGTCCAGTCTGGTGCCTGGGGCCGGTGCCGGTGGTGGAGGGGCACTGAGGTCGGTCTGGGACAAGGCAAGTCCGCCGCCGATGTAGGAAAGGCCCGCAGCCCTGTCGTCGGGACCGAGGGAGGCGTCGGAACCAGCCAGTGCGACGTGCAGTGCACACACTGAGCAATCGCCCGTGTCCAGGCAGGTCATAGTTGCTGCCGGGACGATCCGTTCGAGAACGATCATCGGCGCTTGCAGCTGGAAGTCCTGTCTGTCCATCTCGCTCCAGGTCTGCGGGCAGCCGGCTTCCTGCGCAGCCGGGTGGTGATGGGCCAAAGCCACGAGCTTGGAGATGTGTGGTAGCCCTGCCTCGATGCGACTGTGCAGGTCGGCCAAGTCTTCCCGGGTGAGGCTCCAGGTGCTGGCGAACCGGCTTCGGAAGTCCTGGTGGACCTCTTGCCAGGGCACGCAGAACCCCAGAATGGCTTCGATGACGTCCCCGGCCTGCTCTGCGCGAGAGAAAGGCCATAGAAACACTCGCGGCCCACGGAGCATCAGCATCATGACCACCAGAAGCGAGCGGGCCTTGCAGGAATCCATGGGCTGGCCGTCGGTGTCTAAGAGTCCCTGACGGAAATCTTCCATCGAGGAGCCGCACCCCCGGATGATGTCTCCCAACCCGGTCATTCCAGGGTGCTTCCGGTGTCTGCAGCAGTCCTTGGTAGCGGAGCTCCAAGCCTTGGGGACCTGACGGAAGAGTCCTTTGGGAGTACACTGGCGGCGCTTCCACAGCGTTGCACGCCTGCCGCTGGCGTGAGGCAACGGGGGAAGGGAGTCGTCGGGAATGGCGTAGCTCGCATCCCTCCAGGGGGTGCCTAGGCCGAGCGACCAGACCATTGCTGCCCACAGCGCGTTGTAGACTAGATTGGTCGCGTCGAGCCCGAGAGACATGTCGAACAAGAACCCCAGGTGCGACCAAGCCTTGCGGTCGAGCATGCCCGGCTGCCGCGGTGCGTTGGCCAACGTGAACTCGTGAGGATGCAGCCCGGACATAAGGTAGATGAGCACGTGGAAGGCCGGCGTCGAGAGGATATCGTGGAGCCCTCCCGAGATTAGCTTGCCCAGGGTGTCCCAGTCGAAGCTCTCTTCCAGGGGTGCATTGAACCGCTCGGCGAAGCAGGTGGCCTGGGCATCGCGCGCTTTCTTCTTGGCGACGTCCAGCTGGTTCTGCCCGTTCTCCCCCTTTGCGACACTGCCCCAGGCAGGGGGCGAGGGAATCCATGCGGCAAGGTCCTGGAGTGTGTCGAAGCTGTCGTCCATGTCCAGGGAGAGCCTGCGGCCCACGGGGGTGCTGCCACGAAACTGGACCCAGAGGCGAGTCAGTCTCCCATACTCTGAGAGCACGCGAAACTGCGACCATGTGGCGTTG